TATTATCTATATATATATATATATATATATATATAAACTTGTTTCACTATGGTTCGTTGTGACTTTTAAAAAAGCTTTTGCAATGGGCCACAAGGATAAACAATACCTGTCCCAAATGACGGGAATTTTAGGAAAAAAATTATAAAAAATAAATATTGTGACAAAGGTGTAGCAATGTTGACTAGTGACACTTCTAATCGACTATTCCAAAGTGAGAAATTGATTCAAAATAACCTCACTTTGAGAATAAATTTTAGAAATTACTTCAATGTGGTAAAAAAGCCACGTCATAAAAGTAAAGAACATACTTTTAGGATTTCAATATCAAAAGGTGGATTTAAAAGATTATTGTAAATTTATAATAAAAGATGCCAAGGATTGATTTCATTGATCATCCTCGCATGTATCCTTTCCAATTATTATTCAAATTTAGTTATTAGTAGATTAATTCAACAACCAACGAAAGTATTTTAATCTTAATCCCTTAGATGAAAAATTTTAGACTCCTTAACAAAAGTCTCAATTCTTTGGTGAAGTTAATTAAGCAATCCATATTATCAAATGTTTAAAATGTTGATTAACAATTCTTATTCTATTCCTAGACAATAATAAGCATTATTAGTGTTATTTTCAAATTGTAGTTTTAAAAGGATTTCTCAACTTCAATTAATTCTATGAGATCATGCAATGAGTGATCAAGTCAAGAACAAACATTAAGAAGATAACAAAAATAATTAACTGAATAAAAACTTCATTGAATAAAAATAAGAAGAATTACATGGATTTAGTGTTAGCTCTAATGACTCAACAAATCCTACATTAGCACATCTATACCACAAAACCACATCACAGTGCAACCAAAAAAAACATAAGTCATCTATAATAGGTCTATCTTGCAACAAAACTTGGATATCATGCATATACATAATATGTATACTTGAGGTTTCAATAATCAACCGAAATCAAAAGCTATAAAGCATTTCATGATCATCAAAGTAGTAAAATAAAATCTCCTTATGAGGTTACAGTCCAAAAATTTAATATCTACACATACACCAAAATATCCATACATTTGAGTTGGTCCTACAAAAAAAACCAACAAATCCAAGAAATCATAAATCTTTAGCTCCAACCATCCCAAGATGGCCCATAGCAGCTCCAAGTCACTCTGCACAAGTTATATCTGATTTGGTACCATGTCAAGGACATGATCGTTACAATCAACACGAACAACAAGGTAAGCTTGATATAAAACAACATAACATTGAGCCTCAACTACTCACAACAACACATAATCCCACCACAGGGATCCATACAAAACCCCAATACAACACATCATATGCAACAACTAGTATACCTCACAACCAACTTCAATGAGTCTCAATGCTCACAACATCAATAATAATATCAACACTAAGATCCATGCATAACCATATCACCATACAGCTTCACATGTTACAGTTTACATACATCACAACATTGTACCAACTTCCATCATGTGTTGTCACACACGAACAACAATGGATATCTCCTAAATGAGCAGTCTATTCGACTCAACCCTATTGAAAAGTAACATCCTTGGTCACTCAGGTATCGTGGACAAAAAGATCTAGTATCATTGGTTGGGTGTAAAACAACTTAGGTATGAGTCTATTACAACATTAGTCAAAACCAAACACCCTATGGATTTAGTCCACTTTCTACCCCAAGATACCACACACCTTTTCTTACATTCACTCTCAACAACATGCACAATGCTCAATGGACAAACAACTTGTCACAACAAGCGCATGCCCAGCACAAGACACACAACAACATATATACATACATACATATACACATACATGCACCCATACATATATACATATATATATATATACATATATATATATATATATATGTATATATATATATATATATACATTTTAGCATATCAAAACAAATCACAAATACAACCTTAATAGTTTCATGCCTACAATAGGACATACAACAACATCATATGACAACATGATACTCATAAAGGATACATCTCAATGTGAATTAAGGGCTCAACCTCCCTTTCATTCTCCCTCAACAATATGTAAAAGCATTCATAACTCAATTATAGCCACCATTGGCTTTTGCCAACATCAAAGCACTTAACAATATACAAGCATTTCTACACATAAAAAACATCATCATAAACATTTTTATCATCATTAACATCATAAATATCCTTAACATCATCAACACATAAACAACATAATATAATTAAATTCCTACAATTCATATGTTACTAGACCTGAGACAAAAACCTCTTGTTCCTAGTCCTTAAGACTATCTAAAACTCAACATTTATTCCCAATTGGAACATGCTCAAGATAACCCCTCACGGATGACAACATCATTTCCTAGCCCAACAAGGACATAGGAGTACATGACACAACACTAGAAACACATCCTGACAAAATAGGATTTTTTCGAGTGATGTTTAACTCACTCGATGAAAATCTCTTCGCATACAACTCTTGCTCAACAAGACTCTCTCATTAGGCAACCAAAGCCCTCTATGGCTCCTTGCTAAGTGAACACAAGCTTGCTAAGTGTCCCAACCAATTTATGGGTCCTCTTGCTAAGCGAGCTTCTCTTGTTCAGTAGCCACAACATTTTGTGGCTTCCCCTTGTTGAGTGAGATTTTCTCTCTTAGCATAGCCTTAACCAATTATGGGTTTTTGGCCTTCAACCCATGAAGGCCTACTTAGCGAGAATCATCTCATTGAGCGAGAATGCACAACACCTCCATGATGCCACTCTTGAACACCATCTAAACCTCCAAACCAACATGCAATCCATCCAATCTTGTCAAAACATCATCTAGAACACGAAACCACTTAGAAACAACACATTCAACAACATTTGTGCACAAAATCAACAATTACAACTTCATCTTAAACCCCCCTTCCTCGGAAAAAAATCCAACATGTACAAATTCAATTTTCAACATTCATCCATAAATTCAACACAAAACATCGACAAATGTGCTTATACAATATGTATAAGTTACAATTAAACTTTTTTTTACCTCAATTGAGCTTCTTATTGAGAAGAATCAAGGTAGAAGAGAAACTCCCTTTACAACTCCTAACAAGAGCTCCAATGACTTTGATCCTCGAGATTTCAATTCCACAATCTTCCTTTGGCTTTAAGATGTTCCAGTCTCTAGCTTTAGGGAAGATTCACAACAAAACGGATGATTAGAAGCTCAATCTTGAATCTCATAGCTCTTCTCTCTAACTTCTTTCTAGAATACTATAATATGAAACTCATGAAGTTTCCTTTTCAAAATTTCCTTATATACCTCAGTGCTCCTCGGGTCAAATATCACACATTTAAGGTATATCATCTATAATTTAAGCTTAGGATTATCTCCACATTAACCCACATCCCTTTACAGGAAAAACAAAATAAAACAACACATATAAATGCATATATCACCAAAATGCATATTTATGCAAAATCAGGTGTTACATCAGTTACATGAAACACCAACAATAGGATGAATTAGTTGCTCATAGCTAATGGAGACTCACAAGAACTATATGAAGACTAATGCTTCTCATTCTATTCTCTCAAAATCTTAGTTCAAATTCATTGTGTATGATTGTCTTCTTCTCTTCACGACTAGGTATTTTTATAGAACTTTTACTTGGCTTTTTACTTGTGGACTTGCTTAAGCGACCAAGATAGCATGCTTAAGCAAACCTTTATAATATTTCATGTGTTGATCATGCTTGAGCGAGGCATACTAGAACAATTGCTCTAATCTCTTTGCTTCTTAATTCTTTTGATTGGCTTTTCTGATCCTGTGTTCTTTTTCTATCTAATAACACCAGAAACATTAAAAATATCTAATAAACTATAAAAAAAATTCATGTAAATAAACTAATATAGTTTTCATTGCTTGTTTTTGGTAAAAACATGATTAAAAAGTATAAGACATGTCAGATAATATTACTTAATACTACTGATAATAGACACACATACACATATTTGGAAATTATCACTCTTCCTTTTACAATATATAGAAGGTAGGACTACAATAATTCAAGACAAATGATGTCAACTTGGAAATTTTTTGGTAACCTTACAGAAGATAATGTAGTACGTACATCTTATGTTGGTGATGATTTTCATGTGTTATGTTTGGTTCCAAATGAAAATCCTTTTATATGGTAGTTTGTGTGCTATAATTTGCTATCAATTTATGTATTTTGATTATCATAGATTTTCAATCTATTGTCAACATCTTTCTTACTTTGACTAGGGGAAACTAGATTGATACCATACAGAAAATGAATGCTTTGATTGTTTACTACGAAGATCTTCCTTAAGCATATATGTATTGAAATTTTTGAAGGATGGACGGCGGGTCCATGTTATTGAGAAAGACTTGAGAGAGCCAAACAGAATGGTTGGTGAACTTCTCCAACCAGGAGGATATCTAAAGCTAATGGAATTAGGATTAGAAGGTATGTATCAAATTATCTAGCAAACAAGATTATTCCAAGACTAAGTTATGTGCCTTTCTCATTCACTATTCTGTTTCAGTTTATTCATATTTATACATGTTGGGAAACTAGCCTAGTTTTGCTTTATTATTTTTTTTTATATTATTTAGTTTGATTTTATTGCCACCTCTGTATGCTTGCAAATCTTGTAACCTGTATTATAAATAGAGTCTTCTCTCTAAGGGATTTATGTATTCACTATAATAACCCAAACAACAACAACAAAAATATCAACAACTCCTTTATCCAAATTCTGCATCAGGTCCACTTATCTCACTCTCTTGGTCTTTAGACATGACAAAACCATCTTAATCATCTCTTTGTGAGTTCCTCAATAAGGACTATTTTCAATTTTCTCACTGATTCATTTATTCCTAAATTTGTGTTGTATTCCTCAACTCACCCACCTTGACATATTCATCCGCACTACACCAAACTTTTGCTCATGTTGACATTTACTGTGCAAATTTCACTAATTGTGGTCTTAAAGCTTGACTCCTAAACCCTTTGTCATTTCATGATGTCACTTAAACAAGAGAAACATATTATCAATATTTTTTTAATGAAATGATAATTCTTTGAAGGCCATAACTTATTTCTCTTAATTTTTTAATGTATTTTTCACTGAAATTAGCTTATGCTAAATGGTAGAGTAAGTTTTGCTGTGAGATACCATTCTCATATTAGTCTAATATTATCAATATATTCTACGTTGTCAGACTGCATGGAGCAAATTGATGCACAAAGAGTGCTAGGATATGTTTTCTTCAAGGACAAGGAAAAAACTAAGTTGAATTATCCTTTAGAGAAGTTTAGTTATGATGTGGCTGGTAGGAGCTTCCATAATGGACGGTTTATACAAAGGATGAGAGAAAAAGCTTCTGCTCTACACTAGTAATCCTCTTATTCTATTGTGATTCATAAATGAATTATTAAAATTATCTACTTTGCTACAAAATAAGTTAAAAGTTGGCTAATTGTCCATTGAAATTGTTGTTTGTGTATTATTTATTTTTTCCAAATAGTATTATTTGTTTTGTTTACTGTTCAGTGTACGAATAGAGCAGGGCACTGTAACATCTCTTCTGGAACAGGATAACAAAACTGTTATAGGGGTTAAGTACAAAACTAAAGATGGCCAAGAACTTAAAGCATATGCTCCCCTCACAATTGTTTGTGATGGCTGTTTCTCAAATCTACGTCGGTTTCTTTGCCACCCTAAGGTTGAATTGTCTTATGAATAAGTTTAGTGACAAAATATTATTTTTCATTTTTAATGATGTCAATTCAAAGAAAGTTTTCTAATACCACAAAATATATAGGATTTTGTCAGTTTTGCACCATTTTCTTGACTTCCCCTTATATATTATTAAACACTTGGCAGGTAGAAGTACTCTCCTATTCTGCAGGTTTAGTACTGGAGAATTGTCAACTCCCATTTGAAAATTATGGGAATATTATTATGGATTATCCTTCCTTTGTGTTATTTTATCGTATCAGTAGCACTGAGATTCGCTGCTTAGTTGACATAGCTGGTCAAAAATTTCCTCCAGGTGGAATGGCCAACTACCTAAAAACTATGGTAGCTTCAGAGGTATGATCCTCAATTCCTTCTTGACTTATGGACTATAAACCACTGACTTCAATACAAACACTTGATATAACATGGACATGGACATGAACATCGAGACATAACTAATGTCCAAAAAGTAAAACATGAGAACACGACATGTATTTATAAGTTTTACAATTTTTATATGATAACTTTTAGAAGATGAACAATATCTTTTAAAAGTTAAAACATCAAATAATTCTTATAAAAATAAGTCTTACTATAGATAAAAAAATGTTATGAACCTTAATTACAATAATTATAAATAAGTTGACTTTTAAATTTTTTTTATAATAAAGGTGTTAGATAAATGTTTGATTAAGAGTTGGAGTTGACTCACTCTTTTAGTTCATGTTCAAGTTAAAAGTGTTAAAGTTGTGTTATAGAGGCATTTGAACAAAAACATAATAATTACAAATTGTGACATGATATAGATGTGTTGAACATGTATCATGGCATGTCTAACAAATGTTATGTCAAAAACATGTCTGACATGATATTTTATAGATGTGACAGTGCTTCATAATTCATGGCTGGATTGTCTAGTTTTTAATTATTTTCTGCCTTCATCTTCTATGAATGTTGTGTAATTTTCCAGATTCCACATGAACTTCATGACGCTTTCATTTCTGCAATTGATCGAGGAAATATTAGAGTCATGCCTAATAGAAGCATGTCAGCTGATCGATATCCTACTACTCCTGGAGCTCTATTAATGGGTGATGCTTTCAACATGCGTCATCCATTGACCGGTGGAGGAATGACAGTGGCATTGTCTGATATTGTTCTGTTGCGGGATCTTCTTAAGCCAATTTGTGACCTGAATGATGCAACCTCACTATGCAAACATCTTGAATCCTTTTACATCTTACGCAAGGTAAGTACTATTTACTTTTTGACTTATATTATGAACAAAACTTTAGTACAGTTTATTAGATGTAATTGGTATTGTTCTCTATTTAGAATTGGAGATTTATTTTGATAATGTGTGTAAATGTATATTAATGAAATATACATTAAATATAAATGTATATTATTGAGATGAATCTCCCATTTTGATTGGAGAATAATACTAACTGCACTTAAACTACTGTACTTAAATTTTATTTTTTAAATCGGTGCTTATCGAATGTTTCTTAAGTGCATGATGTTTATTTAATAATATCTGCTGCATGTTTTTTAAGGACCTAATGATTTCTATTTAATAATATGATAGTAAAATTTGCAAACCCATTATCCAAAACTGTTAAGTGAAGACATGTGAATGTTTTGATCACTCACACTAAAGCCTTTTATTAGAACTTGAAACATGGATAATTTGAGGCCATTTACCCTGTGCTCATATTCAACTTTTTTCTTTGTGGTATTGGGGTGGCAAAGGTTGACATGACATTAGATTTTAGGCGACTTAGTCATATAGGCATTGATATCACATCATGAGTCAATTAATCCAAAGGCTTAATCTGAAAGGTGAGACTAGAAAAACATAAATGCTTTAATATTACATTACTAACATTAAAATATGACAGTAAATTAAGAATCCCTAATCTTCAAAAGAGATGTGGACTTCAACTCATTACTTGACATGTTGTTTGCAGCCTATGGCATCCACCATAAATACTCTGGCAGATACCCCATATAAGGTCTTTTCTGCTTCACCCAATGATGTTGATGCTATAAATGAAATACGCCAAACAAGTTTTGACTACTTGAGCCTTGGAAGATTTTTTTCAGGTGGATACATTACTCTACTCTCTGGTCTAAATCCTAGCCTATTGAGTTTAGTTCTCCATTTTTCTGCTGCTACATGTTATGGAGTTGGCCGTTTTCTCTTGCCATTTCCTTCATTTGAACGCTTATGGACTGGAGCTAGATTATTTTTGGTGAGTTCCTCCTTCCACCCATTTCCATCCATCTAATTTAGCTTTGGCAAGTTCCTCCTTGAACGCTTATAGATTGGAGTTATATTAGTTTTAGTGCCTTCTGTGATCTTGTTATATATCGATAAGTTTCATTGTAGCATGTTTGCCTTATCTTTTATAAACATGAATTAAAAACTAGTTATGCAATAATTTAATCATGTTGCAACATAGTTCACAAAAGTTGAGGTCTCTTCTGTAGTGTCAATGATCATTGTTTTCGTAATATATATTGTCAGTGACACTTAAAGTGCTATAATTCTTAACCAATGAATATCTTTCAGTGTGCATTTGTTATAATACTTCCCATCATCAAGGCTGGAGGAGAAAGAAGGCAAAAAAAATTTCTTGTATCCGTACCAACACTTTATAAAGCTCCTCTTAATAAGTGATGCATTCTGGAGTAAGAGAACACTTCCAATGCTCCTTTTACTATTAGCTCCATTATTTTATGTCCTAAAATTAAGGAGAATTTCAATGTATACAAGGGACTTTTATGTCTTTTTGGAAGAGATTACTGATGAAGGGTTTCTATAGGTTTTAGGAGGTAATCGGTCAACTCTTTTTTTCGCTCACTGTCCAAAATAAAAGGAAAAAAGAGACATTGTCTTAAACCTAAAAAATGTGTGCTTCTGTAATGTATTTCAATAATGTCTTTATACCTTTAGCAAACATTGTACCAATAAAAAATAACATTTAATTTGGTTCATAATGAATGTATGGGAAAGAAAATTAGATATAAACACCATCTATCTATCTATTTATATATAGGCTAAATGCCTAATTTGGTCCCTCATAATAATTAAAATTTTCAATTTGGTCCCACTTTATTTTTTGGTTTCAATTTAGTCACTCCAATAATTTAAAAATACATCAATGTGGGACTTCCGTCCAAATTTCACAAACAACGTTTACAAGAGTCCTATGTGGAAATTCCTACGTGGCTTCCATTCGTGCGTGGCTCCATTTCCGTGAGAGAAGAATCCTCCATTCTTCCAACGTGGCTCCATTCGCGCGGGAGAGAAGAGAAGAATCGCGGCATTCGTGAAGAAGACGTTGTGGAGAAGAGGAATCGTTGATTGTGAGTCAATGGTAAGGGCTTGGTGAAGAAGACGAACTTGGGTGTGGATCCTATTGACATTGGGTAAGTGCTTTTTTAGGGGTTTTTGATTTAGGGTTCGAGTTAAGGTATTATTGGGTTGTTGTTGGAAGATGGGTTTTGGTTTAGGGTTTGAAATCGTGTGGGACTGAAAATTGGGTTTTTAATAAAGGGTTTTGGTTCGTATATGGGTTTTGGTTTTGGGTTTGAAATCGTGTGGGACTGAAAATTGGGTTTTTAATAAAGGGTTTTGGTTCGTATATGGGTTTTGGTTTTGGGATTAAGGTTTGAAATCGTGTGGTCCCAAAAATGGATTGCTGACATGATGTAGTGTGTTTTGCATTTGTTGGCCTGTATACATGCATATGTTGGCCCACTAATACAGTCATAGACTGATCCTAATTTATTTGCATATGTTGGCCCACTAATGTTGAATTTTTTACTATGTTGGCCCACTGGTGTGTTGGTTGTTATCTATGCATATATTAATTGTGTTTTGTATTAATTTTTAATTAATTATTTATCTATAATTGAAAATATACATTACAATAGGTTTATATTAAATTACGTGTCGTGGATTTTTATAGGAATTGCTTGACATGGAAGAGTATTTTGAGGTAGTTGTCCATCATGGGGAAGTTTGTGAATAGAGAGAAGTTAGATTATGTGGATCATGATTCCACATAGTCATGTGACCTTGATAGATGGTCGTATTTTGAAATATTGGATATTTTAAGGGAAATGGGATATATTATAGTGGATAAGATGTGGTATTATGTGGGTGGGGTTGATTTTGAGAATGGGCTGAAGTTGTTGTCTAATGATAAGGGGGCCATGGAAATGATAAGAATAACAAGATAGTTCAGAAATGTTAGATTATATGTTGAACATCCCACATCTGAAGCTGAAATTATACAAAGTTTAGAATCACCTGCTGTTGTAACAAATGATGGGCCGATGCTTAACGATAGTGGGCCTAATGATAGTGGGCCTGATCCTTTTGTTGATGATGAGATTGTGATAGAGGCTGATATTGGTGGTGATTATGGGGTTTGGTGTGTTGCTAATGATGTGAGTGTGGCAGAGGTGGTGTTGGTGATGAATGTGGGGTCAGGGCTGAGATTGTGCCTGAGTTTGGGACTGTTGGTGTTGATGAGTGTGTGCTTGAGAATGTTGTGGGTAATGAATGTGAGCCTACAAAGTGATGATGTTTGTGATGATAATGAAAGAGATGATAGTTATTGCAGTTATCCTTCAGTACATTTGGGTGATTCCAACGCCATTGGAAAGCTAACATCTAAGACTACAACTTCCATGAAGACCTTAAGACCAGATTCGGCCATCTACACTCACCGCTGCAGCGCTCAATTCAGCGCTTTAGCTCTGGATTTCTGCCATCTCAATTTCCTTTCCACGGCCATGGCTGTGAATCCACGGCCATGGCTGCAAGTTTCTGCCACTCCAACTTTTCCCCACAGCCATGGCTGCAAATCCACAGCCATGACTGCAAGTCTCTGCCACTCCATTTCCCCCCCACAGCCATGGTTGCAAAACCACAACCATGGCTACAAGTCTCTACCATCACGTTTTTCCCTCCCACGGCTATAGCTGTGAATTCACGGCTATGGTTGTGAGTTTCTACAAGTTCATTTTTCCTCCACGGCTATGACTGTGGGTCTCAAAATTCTCTAAAATTCCATGGATTTCACCTTTGATCTTCTCCTTTTCTTCACCAATCTTCCCCCTAAACATGATCTATACCCATGATTACCACCACATTCATTCAAGAAACCCAGAAACCACAAAATTTTGGACATGCATGCATCAACATTCGTGATCTCCCATTTTTACCTCACTCATTCAAGAACACCACAGCCCCAACAACATGCAACCCACCCAACTCAATTATTCAGCCTCCAAATCACATCCTAGATGATAATCCGACTACATGCAACCCAAAATGCAAAACAAATTCGAGTTCTAGCTTCCCTTACCTCGAAACGGAGTGAACGATGAACTCTGAGCTACTCCGAGGTTGAAAAAGAAGAAGATGGAATGAGAATTCGACTCCGAGCATCAAAGCTCCCTAGCACATCAATTGCTCCGCAACCTTGAGAATCAACAAGAAATGAAAGAGATTTGGGAGAAGGAAATGTGAAAAAGAGAGGGAATGAGAAAGAGGAAAAATGAGAGGGGGAGAAAGAGGCTACGGGTCTCACATTATTAATTTGATAAAATATTGAAATAGACTATTTTATAATTTAATCATAAAAAATATTTATCTGGATATATTACCTTTAGTTATGAGCTTTTTAAAATATTATTTATAATAATATTTTTTTTTACAAATCCCATTATAAATAATAATAATTTATTTGTTATAAAAACTTAATAACAAACTTAATATTACATTGTTAAAAAAATTTATATATTAATTAACAAAATAATATTTTCTTAACTTAAATAATTTCTTTTTTATTCGTGCATTTCGCTGGTCTATGTCTAATTATGTATAAATCTTGGCTTATTTTGGCTTGTAAACAAACAGAAACAGATACCATTCGTCAAAGTCAAATTCTCTGGTAGTTGCTGTAAGAAAAATTGCCTATTATTTCTTGTGGTATATTCAGTCATATAGGAAGCGACAACTACAATAAACTTCCTTAAACACTCTTAAGAGAAGAAAAAAAATTAAAAAAAATGAAATAAGCTTCTCTCAAAATTAATATTAACTTATATATAAATTAATTTCTAAAAGCTTTTTGTATTAATTTTTTTAAAACTTATTTTTAATTTATAAATAAGTTAGCTTTAATTTAATGGAATGAAAAGTCCATGTCATTTTTACTTCTTGTTTTCATCTCTTAGAAGTGCTTAGAGAAGTTCATTGGAATAATCCTTAAATAAAATAAAGATTTAATGTAACATTTAGTCCCTAACTTTTTTTAATAATTTTTCAATTAAATCCCTAAATTAAAAAAATTGCAGTAAGGTCCTTTATCTTTTATTTTATTGTAATTTAATCCACTAAAGTTAAAAATTTGTTTTCTATACATGAAATTTCACAAAATATTTTATATAGATATGAACAATGACACTCAATAATAATCTAATATGGTTATTTAGGTATATAGATATTAAAAATATTTTGTGAAATTTCACATCGTAAATGAATTTCTAGTTAAAAGAATTAAATTATAAAAATATATAAAAAAAAATGAAATACCCAATTACAAATTATATTAGTTTAAAGGCTTAAAATAAATTGGAAAGTAAACTATTTCAGGGCTACATGGAAGGTATTCATTATTTGAAACATTGGTTTTTTAACATGTCGCTATTAATTTCATTCTAATCGCACCTAAAGTTTACGATAAAAATATTTACAAATAAATTATTAATAAAATTCTGTATAACAAAAATTTGCTTCTATATTGAAGTTTATTTGATAAAAGTAATAATATATCAAATTTATTTTAAATTGTATTTTATTCAACTTTTAAATTTAAAATTAACACGAACTCTTTTTATACCCGCAATGCTTTTAACTATCAGTAACTGAAAAAAAAAAAAAAAAAGGAACAATATGGCACGGGCTATTTGCTCATTGGTTCTAGTCATTGTCTACAGAAGTAACAACATCTTCAGTATACAATAACTAAACCAAACAACCATCAACAGCACAAAAATCAGTGAAGAAATCAACACAACAAAACAACACAGCAAAGCAACACAACACAAAGCTCAGCACAACAAAAGCCTAAAGGAACCACCCTCACAGAGTGTCCACTAGACTCGAACTGCTCTGATACCACTAAAGTGTAACGACCCACCTGGTCAATACACACAGCACAACACACCAGAATACTACACAGAAACGAACAAGTATATACATATAGGATCTAGAATATATATATATATATATACAAGGTTCAAATCCGTCTAGAATCAGAGTGTACAAAATACATCCAAAAAATGCTAGCTAAGTAGCCAAATACATCAAATAGAATAAAACTCCATTTTCTAGTTGCAGACTCTTCTCAGCAAACACCAACCTAACCCTGCCCTGCTCCCATACGTAGTATGATCATCGCAGTTCAAACCACATGGAAACAACAAAGGGTAAGTTAGTGAAAGAAACAACGTACATATATAAATATATGAATAATAAACAGCTACAGCTATCAGCACATCAATCATCTTAACAACATCAGCTTAATATATATAACAACACACATTTCACATCATTCAGCAATGACAGCAGAAAGCAGCAGTACACAACGGTAAACAGCAGTAAACACACAATGCGTCGTCACGCATATAAGTTAGTATTGGTCGCTTGTAAGCGGTATAGCTCGACCTGCCCCCTATACCGTGGTCGCTTTATACACGTGAGCCTCGACCTTGCCCACACACGGGACCACTAAGAACTTAGAGGAGAACAACAAGTTACCACTCCAAGGGTCAACTTTCCAGGAGGGTTTTCAACAAATTGGGCTCTAAGAGCACTACAGCCACTCAATCCACACAATGGGATGAGGAATTTCGAAAACATCTGCTCTAGTCTTAGTGATCAACAGTTCAGCCTTACGGCCTACAACAGCTCCTAACAGCATGGAGCACAGCACTGCATAGCAGCAATAACAACACCACATAACGACAATAACAGCACCACATAGTGGCAATAACCGCACCG